GCTCTGGACAACAGAACTTGAACACCATCACCTATGAAGTAAGCCTGAGCTTCTGGCAGACCTACCTCAAGTACCATTGAGGGAGGGGGATTTATTCTCCCAGTGACTAGCTGCCGAAATCAAGATCGCTTTTTATATGATCTGAATAGTTTTACTCTAACCTGATTTTTATTTTGTTTATAAAAGTGGGAGGAGTTTGGTCAAGTGTAGAGTTTAGCCAGCTACAAAGTTAGAAGGAATAGTGTAAAAGATTGCCCTTACTTCTCCTTGAAAGGGGATCACAGCTCACTGCAGCTTCAACCTCCTAGGCTCAAGTGGTGCTCCCAGCTCAGCTTCCTAAGTAGCTGGGACTATGGGCAAGCACTGTCATGCCTGGCTAATTTTTTTGTTGTTGTCCAGGGTGGTCTCGAACCCTTGGGCTCAAGCGATCTTTTTTTTTTTTTTTTTTTTTTTGAGACGGAGTCTCACTCTGTCGCCCAGGCTGGAGTGCAGTGGCGCAATCTCGGCTCACTGCAAGCTGCGCCTCCCGGGTTCACGCCATTCTCCTACCTCAGCCTCCCCAGTAGCTGGGACTACAGGCGCCCGCCACTGCGCCCGGCTAATTTTTTTCTATTTTTTAGTAGAGACGGGGTTTCACCATGGTCTCGATCTCCTGACCTTGTGATCCGCCCGCCTCGGCCTCCCAAAGTGCTAGGATTACAGGCATGAGCCACCGCGCCCGGCCGGGCTCAAGCGATCTTATCACCGCATCTTTCCAAAGTGGTAGAGACTCAGATGCTTAAGGCTATTGTTTATTTTATAAAGTTTCAGATTCCTCCCAAAATATATAATTATAATTCCTCCCAAATTATATCTGTATTCTTCCTCAAAAGCCACAAATTCTGTGTAATCATGAGAAAATATCAGACCATTGCAAATCAATTTAAAAAAAAAAAAAAAAAAAAACCTTTATTTTGAAATCATTTTTCTTTTTTTTTGGAGACAGAGTCTCGCTCTTGTTGCCCAGGCTGGAGTGCAATGGTGTGATCTCGGCTCACCACAGCCTCTGCCTCCCAGGTTTAAGCGATTGTCCTGCCTCAGACTTCTGAATAGCTGGGATTACAGGCATGCACGACCTCGCCTGGCTAATTTTGTATTTTTTGGAGAGAAGGGGTTTCTCCGTATTGGTCAGACTGGTATCGAACTCCTGACCTCAGGTGATCCACCGATCTCGGGCTCCCAAAGTTCTCGAATTATAGGTGTGAGCCACCATGCCCAGCCATTCTTCTCTTACATAAAAGTTGTAGAGACAGTGCTGGGAGTTCTCATGTACCCTTCCCATAGTTTTCTCTGATGTTAACATCTTACATAACCATGTTACAGTGATCAAAACCAAAGAATTAACATTGGTACATACTATTAAATAAACTAAGCTAAAATTTTATTTGAATACCCTGTTTTCCCGCTGCTATCTTCTGGGTTCCAGGATTCAGTTCAGGATACCATTTTGTATTTAGTTAACATGTCCCCATCATGTCATTTGTTCTGTGTCCTTACTCTTCCTTTGTCTTCCTTGACACTTGTGAAGGGCTGGTCAAGTATTTTATAGAACATCCCTTGATTTGTGATTGTCCGATATTTTCTTACGATTACCCAGAACCTATGGCTTTTGAGGAAGAGTACTACAGAGGTGATCTCCCCTTCTCATGTCATGATATCTCAGGGTACATGATATCGATGTTTCTTTTTATTTATTTATTTTTTTTGGGGGAGGGGGGGATGGAGTCTCACTCTGTTGCCCAGGCTGGAGTGCAGTGGCGCAATTTCGGCTCACTGCAACCTTCGCCTCCCGGGTTCACGCCATTTTCCTGCCTCAGCTTCCCGAGTAGCTGGGACTACAGGTGCCCGCCACCCTGCCTGTCTAAGTTTTTGTATTTTTTTGTAGTAGAAACGAGGTTTCACCGTGTTAGCCAGGATGGTCTTGGTCTCCTGACCTTGTGATCTGCCTGCCTCGGCCTCCCAAAGTGCTGGGATTACAGGTGTGAGCCGCCGTGCCTGGCTGATGTCAATGTTTCTTATGGCTGATACTGTTAACTTTGGTCATTCGGTTAAGATAGCATCTGCCTGGATTGTCCACTGTAAAACTACTGTTTCTTCATTTCCATATTATGTTAGAAAGGATTCACCAAGTTCAGCCCATATTCAAGGGGAAGGGGGAGATTAAGCTTCACCTCTTAAAGGGAGGGATATCAAAGAATTTGTGTTATGTGTGTTAAAACCACCACAGTAATTAAGAAATATTTTGTGGGAGATGCTTTGAGGCTAGGAAAACAGCCTACCCTTCCTTAAGCTTTTAATCATCAATTTTAGCATTCATTGGTGGATCTTTCTGCAGTAATTATGACTATGGTACAGTTGCCTGAGAGTGATTTTAAAATTGTTCTCATTCCTCTATGCTTATTAGTTAGAATTATATATATATATATATATGTTTTTAAGAGACAAAATTTTATTGTGTTAATTCAGTCTGGTCTCAAACTCCTGGGCTCAAGTGATCTTCCTGCCTTGGCCTCCCATAGTGCTGGGATTACAGGTGTGCACCACTGCACCCAGCTCATACGAGTTAGAATTCTTCCATGAGAAAAAGTTGTCTCTTCTTACCCATTTATTTATTCATTAGTATATATCCATGTAGACTCATGGCAATTTATTTTATTCTTTGGGATCCCCCTCTTTAAAAAAATTGTCCAAAATATAACATAATTGTCAGATTGAGTTTTTTTTTTTTTTAAGATCAGAAGAGTTTTCTTCTAAAATTTCATTACTTATTCTTCCTGTTCTAGCTACTGATTTTCTCTTTCAGGAATTCGTATTGCATGAAGATTGGTTCTCCTGAACGCCTCTTTGTTTGTTTTATACAGGATTTTTTTCTTTTTTTTTTTTTTTTTTTGAGACAGAGTCTCATTCTGTCACCCAGGCTGGAGTGCTATGGTGCAATCTCGGCTCATTGCAACCTCTGCCTCCTAGGTTCAAGTGATTCTCCTGCCTCGGCCTCTGTAGTGTCCGGTATTACAGGCGTGCACCGTCACACCCAGCTTTTTTTCCACCATATCCAACTTTTTCTTTGTATTTTTAGTAGAGATGGCGTTTCACCATGTTGGCCAGGCTGGTCTTGAACCCCTGACCTCAGGTAATCCGGCCACCTTGGCCTCCCAAAGTGCTGGAATTACAGGTGTGAGCCACCGCGCCCGGCCTGTACAGGATTTTTAAAACAAAATTTTAGAATTTTAATAGCCATTGCGTTTCCTTTTTCTCATTCAGGGTTCTTTGTCTTATGCTTGGCTTTTTTCTTTTTTTTTTCCTAGATGTTAAAATACATATCAAAATCACCATGCAGACACCAGAGTCCTGAGACTGTCAGAGAATTTCTCACAGCAATGAAAAGCCACAAGTTGACCAAGTAAATAAATCTCTTAAGTAGGAAGAGAGTGACACATGGTGAAATGATAGTTGCTACATTCGTAGCAACCATGTATTGATATTCAGCTGGGTTTGGATTTAAAGGAGGATGATAGTATTGTAGATGAAACAACCGAAAGTTGGACATAGGGACCCTTCCAGAGTAAGGAACAAAACTTAATGGGGTTTTAAAAATCTTTTCTTGGAGTCCCAGTTTGTATGACCTATTGCATCACCCCCATTCCCAGAATTCAGACCAAATTGGATGAAAAGTAGAGTTTACAAGTTAAAGTATTTTTTATAAAGTTGATCAATGAAGTCCTTCTATGTTTGTGTTTGCTTGAGGCAAAAGTGGCTTGATCGTATTCTGTGAGTTCTTGTAGTGTCCAGTTCCTTTTCTTGGTTTGGAATGAGTTCAACCTATTAAAATGGAAAATGTCATGTATCAGTAGTTTACAGGAGAAGAAAACTAGCCCAAGTTTTTTAGATTCAGTTCTAGAACTGATAAATTTCAAAAGCTTTTGTCATTTCACTTAGGATAATCCGTAATTTTCTTTTACCATTTGGTGTTACAGCAGGCACACGGGTGGTACCATCAGTGAACTAAATGCACTTCTCCCACTCCTTCTCCAAGAGAACTCTGAAGACAAAACAAATTCCATGTGCGTGTGTGCAAATCTTCCATGTGTATCTTCTGTATTCATGTATAACACTTTTTAAAAACTGTCGTAAAATACACATAACATGGCTGGGTGCGGTGGCTCATGCCTGTAATCCCAGCACTTTGGGAGCCTGAAGCAACTGGGTCATCTGAGGTTGGGAGTTCAAGACCAGCCTGACTAACATGGAGAAACCCTGACTCTACTAGAAATACAAAATTAGCTGGGTGTGGTGGCACATGCCTGTAATCCCAGCTACTTGGGAAACTGGGAGGAGAATCGCTTAAACCTGAAAGGCAGAGGTTGCAGTGAGCTGAGATCGCGCTATTGCACTCCAGCCTGGGCAACAACAGTGCAACTCCATCTCAAAAAATATATAAATAAATATACTTAACAAAATTTACCATTTTAGCCCAGGTGCGGTGGCTCACAGCTATAATCCCAGTGCTTTGGGAGACTGAGGCGGGCGGATCACTTGAGGCCAGGAGTTCAAGACCAGCCTGACCAACATGATGAAACCTCTTCTCTACTGAAAATAAAAAATTAGCCAAGCGTGGTGGCGGGTACCTCTAATCCCAGCTACTTGGGAGACTGAGGGAGGAGAATCGCTCAAACCTGGGAGGTTGCAGTGAGCCAAGATCGCGCTACTGCACTCCAGCCTGGGTGATAGAGCAAGACTCTGTCTCAAAAAAATTACCATTTTAACCATTTCTAAGTGTACCGTTCAATTGTTGCAACCAATATGCAGACCTTTTCAGTTTGCAAAACTGAAATTCTGTATCCCTTAAACAATTCCGCACTTGCTCCTCCTCCTGTCCCTGGCAGCCACCATTCTGCTTTTTGTTTCTATGAGTTTGACTCCCTCATACAAGTGGAACTATACAGTGTTTTTTTAAAATCATACCTGAATGTTTAATTTTTAAAATCATTTTAACAATTGAAGTGTGCAATTCAGTGGCATTAAGTACATTCACATTGTACAATCACTGCCATCTATCCACAGGACATTTTACCTTGCAAAACTGAAACTCGGTGCCCAGTAATCAATAAATTCCCCGTTCTCCCTTCCTCCTAGCCCCTGGCAACCACCAATTTATTTTCTGTCTTCATGAATTTGACTACTCTAAGTATTGCATGTAAATGGAATCATACAGTATTTATCACTTAGCATAATGTCTTTGCCCGGGCGCAGTGGGTCACACCTGTAATCCCAGCACTTTGAGAGGCCAAGGTGGGTGGATCACCTGAGGTCAGGAGTTCGAGACCAGCCTGCAAAATTAGCCAGGTGTGGCGGCGCATGCTTGTAATCCCAGCTACTCGGGAGGCTGGGGCAGGAGAATTGCTTGAACCCAAGAGGCAGAGGTTGCAGTGAGCTGGGATCGTGCCATTGCACTCCAGCCTGGGCAACAAGAGCAAAACTCCGTCTCAAAAAAAAAAAGGGCCAGGCACGGTGACTCACGCCTGTAATCCCAGCACTTTGGGAAGCTGAGGTGGATGGATCACCTGAGGTCAGGAGTTCGAGACCAGCCTGTCCAACATAGTGAAACCCGGTCTATACTAAAAATACAAAAAATATTAGCTGGCTGTGGTGGCAGGCACCTGTAATCCCAGCTACTCAGGAGGCTGAGGCAGGAGAATCGCTTGAACCTGGGAAGTGGAGGTTGCAGTGAGCCAAGATGGTGCCATTGCACTCCCGCCTGGGGTACAAGAGCAAGACTTCGTCTCAAAACAAACAAAACAAAAAAGAAAAAAAAGATGTATGAGAAATTTTTTTTCTTTATAAAAGTGAATAATATTCCATTTTATATGTAAATCACATTTTGTTTTTCTTTCTTTATTTTTTTTTGAGATGGAGTCTCACTCTGCTGCCCAGGCTGGAGTGCAGTGGCGCCATCTCAACTCACTGCAGTCTCCCCATCCCAGGTTCAAGTGATTCTCCTGCCTCAGCCTCCTGAGTAGCTAGGATTACAGGTAACCACCACCAAGCCCGGCTGATTTTTTTGTGTTTTTTAGTAGAGATGGGGTTTCACCATGATAGTCAGGCTGGTTTTGGAACTCACGACCTCAATTCATCCATCCACCTTGGCCTCCCAAAGTGCTGGGATTACAGGTGTGAGCCACTGCGCCTGGCCCACAGTTTGTTTTTCTAACATCCATTGACATACACTTGCTTCCATCTTTTGGCTATTGCGAATAATGCTGTTATGAGCATGGGGGGTTCAAATATCTCTCTGAGACCCTGCTTTCAGTTCTTTGGGTACCCAGAAGTGAAATTGATACATCATATGGTAGTTTTGTTTTTAACTTTTTATTTTTTTATTTTTTATTTTTTTTTTGAGACGGAGTCTTGCTCTGTCGCCCAGGCTGGAGTGCAGTGGCACGATCTCGGCTCACTGCAAGCTCCGCCTCCTGGGTTCAAGCCGTTCTCCTGCCTCAGCCTCCCGAGTAGCTGGGACTACAGGCGCCCGCCACCGTGCCCGGCTAATTTTTTTTGTATTTTTAGTAGAGATGGGGTTTCACAGTGTTAGCCAGGATGGTCTCGATCTCCTGACCTCGTGATCCACCCACCTCGGCCTCCCAAAGTGCTGGGATTACAGGCTTGAGCCACCGCGCCCGGCCCTGTTTTTAACTTTTTTGAGGAACCACCATGCTATTTTTTTCTATTGGCTACAGCATTTTACATTCCCATCAGCAGTGCACCATAGTTGCAACTTCTCCACATCCCTGCCAATTTATTTCCTTCCTTCTTCCCTCCCTCCCTCTAGCATCTATGAAATGTGAAGCAGTCTCTCATTCTGGTTTTATTTTGCATTTCTGTAATGATAAGTGATGCCAAGCATGGTTTTATGTGCTTATTAGCTATTTGTATGTCTTCTTTGAAGAATATCTATTCCAGTCATTTTCTCTTTTTTTTTTTTTTTTTTTTTTTTTTTGGTGAGACAGGGTCCCAGTCTGATGCCTACGTTGAAGTGCAGTAGTGCTATCTTGGCTCACTGCAGCCTCGACCTTCCCAGATGCAGGTGAGCCTCCCAAGTAGCTGGGATTACAGGCATGCCACCACCATGCCCACTTAATTTTTGTATTTTTTGTAGAGTCAGGGTTTCTTTGTGTTACCTGGGTGGCCTCAAACTCCTGGGTTGCCTGCCTCAGCTTTCCAAAGGGATTACAGGTGTGAGCCACCACACCTCATCCTTTTCCCGTATTCGAATGAGGTTTTTTTGTTCAGTTTTAGGAATTTTATATATATTCTAGATATTAATCCTTTGCTAGATATATGATTTGCAAATATTTTCTCCCATTCTGTGGCTTGTCTTTTTACTCTGTTGGTGAGTCCTGTGATGTACAAAGTTTTTAAATGAAGTCCAGTTTGTCTCTTTTCTTTTGTTACCTGTGCATTTGGTATCAGAGATCCAAGAAATCATTATCAAATTCAATGTCATGCCCTGGCACAGTGGCTCACGCCCATAATCCCAGCACTTTGGGAGGCTGAGGCGCGGATCACCTGAGGTCCAGACCAGCATGGCCAACATGGAGGAACCCCGTTTCTACTAAAAATAGGAAAATTAGACCGGGCATGGTGGCTCACACCTGTGATCCCAGCACTTTGGGAGGCCGAGACGGGTGGATCACGAGGTCAGGAGATCGAGACCATCCTGGCTAACACGGTAAAACCCCATCTCTACTAAAAAATACAAAAAAACTAGCCGGGCGAGGTGCTGGGCACCTGTAGTCCAGGAGGCTGAGGGAGGAGAATGGCGTGAACCCGGGAGGCGGAGCTTGCAGTGAGCTGAGATCCGGCCACTGCACTCCAGCCTGGGCGACAGAGCGAGACTCCGTCTCAAAAAAATAAAATAAAATAAAATAAAGTAAAATAAAATAAAATAAAATAAATAAAATAAAATAAAATAAAATAAAATAAAATAAAAAATAAAGCCGGGCGTGGTGGCGGGCCTCTGGCGTCCCAACTGCTTGGGACGCTGAGGCAGGAGAATGGTGTGAACCCGGGAGGCGGAGCTCGCAGTGAGCTGAGATCGCACCACTGCACTACAGCCTGGGAGACAGAGCAGGACTCCATCTCAAAAAAAAAAAACAAAAAAAAAAAAAAACAAAAATTAACCAGGTGTGGTAGCACATGCCTGTAGTTCCAGCTACTCGGGAGACTGAGGCAGGAGAATTGCTTGAACCCGGGAGGCGGAGGTTGCAGTGAACCAAGATTGTGACACTGCACTCCAGCCTAGGCAACTGAATGAGACTGTCTCAAAAAAAAAAAATTTCAGTGTCATGAAGCTTTTTCCTTATGCTTTCTTCTAAGAGCTTTATAGTTTTAGTCTTATATTTAAGTCTTTGATCCTTTGTGTAAAATTAAAAAAAATTTTTTTTAATTAAAAAATTTTAGGTCAGCACAGTGGCTCATGCCTGTAATCCCAGCACTTTGGGAGGTGGAGGTGGGCGGATTACCTGAGGTAGGGAGTTTAAGACCATCCTGGCCAACATGGAGAAGCCCCATCTCTACGAAAAATATAAAATTAGCCGGGCGTGGTGGCACATGCCTGTAATCCCAGCTACTTGGGAGGCTGAGGCAGGAGAATCGCTTGAACCTGGGAGGCAGAGGTTGCAGTGAGCTGAGATCTTGCCACTGCACTGCAGTCTGGGCAACAGAGCGAGATCTGTCTCAAAAAAAATATTAATTGATATAATAATTTGTGCATATTTCTGGTGTATAAAGTCGTGTTTTAATATGTATATAACGTTTAATGCTCAAGTTAAGGTAATTAGCATATTTGTCACTGCAAATATTGATCCATTTTCAGTTCATTTTTGTATGTAGTATAAGGTAAGGATCCTCCTTCTTCCTTTACCTGTGGATATCCAGTTTTTCTGGTACCATTTGCTGAAAAGATGATTTCTTCTTTCTTGAATGGGTCTTGGTCTCCTTGTCAAAATCATTTGACCATATATGCAAGTGTTTTCTTTCTGGGTTCCCTACTCTATTGGTCTGTATATC